AGACGCGGTCCGGCCTTCCTATACATGGAGGGCTGTCTCAGGGCAGAGGCAGCGGATTCATTCTCCGTTGCACCTGAGGGCAGGGCAGGAACCGATGAGCGATAAAAATTTGAAATTAGGAGGAATTTCCTGGCTCTGGATCACTGGAGGCCTTCAAGCCATTTGTCTGAGGATCCCTGCCCTGGGTGGGGGGTCTGGACCAGACAACCCCCAGTGTCCTTCCACCCCCAGGATTCTAGACCCACCCCGTGCCCTGAAAAGGGGAGGCTGCAGGCTGGCCTGGAGCCAGTCAAGGGTGGCTTCTGAGGGGCGGGCAAACTCTCCAAAGCCAGAAAAGCGTTCATTTCTGCTGGTTTCTCACTCTTCCCCCAAAGACTTTCTTGCGAATTGGTGAGCTGGCTGTTCTCTTCCCAGATAATGGAGGAACGTCCAAGTGGCTGTTTTCCAAAGGGTCTCCTGAGTCAGGCTCTGAACAGTCCGCTACAAATAATCGTGGCTAGTTTTAACCTTGGTCGGTTGCTCTTTATGGCGCTGCACGAGATGCAAACCCAGCTCGTTGTTAGGGTTAAGGTGGGTTAATGCAATTAAGCCTGTTGGGCCAAGCCACGCTGTGAGTGCGTCGGCCCTGTTCTTCGTGGTTACCGAGCCCTGGTTGGGTTGCAGACATGAGGCAATCGCTTGGCAAGTGGGAAGTGTTTCAGGCCCTTGAAATCCCTTGAGAGCAGCCTAAACGTTGATGAGTGTATTCCCAGCACTTCTGTGCACAGAAATTGAGAATCCAAGATCTCATAGGGCAGAATCTTCCCTCTCCCTCCCCCTTTTAATCTGCTGTCCCATGACGTGGGCCCTCCACGTTAACAGTATCTCGCTGTTCGCAATGATGCTTTCTAAGCGCGGGCCGTTCGTACTGTCCTGCCTTTCTGCCATATATTCGGTCACCGTCAGTTTATGGCAAACCTTCCTATTGTAACTTTACGCTCTGGCTGAGGGTTATGCTGGAGTCCCCCTGAAATACATTTTGCTCCTGGGCGGCGGGGGGTGGGTGGGGGGCACCTGCCTGACCACTTCAGAAGGGGAAAAGCCACGAGCTCCAACCAGCTTCTTCCAGCCATTCCTGAGCGCAGAGGAGGAGCTAAGGCCAGATCGGGCCAAGGACCCACCTTGTCCCACAGGGGCCCACTTCCGACACCACCCCGGGGAATTCCCAAGGGGGCCCAGAGGGGCCTTATTGCTCCCCAGCAGCTGGCCTTTGGGAACAGGAAACCCCCCCAGGACCAGAAGTCACGGGCAGACCGATCCCCCTCGAACTCGTGTTTCAAAACCCTGAAGGTGTGTGGGGGTCCCCCCCATGGCCACACTAGTCTTAGGGGGCAGACCCAGAGAGAGTCAGGCCAGAAGAGCCTGCAAAAAATGGGGAGACCCGGAAGGGCCTTATTCTGAAATGGGGAGGGGTCCCTCTGTCCCTGAGCTGACAGCCCCTCCTGGCCTGCCAGGGCAAGAGGTCTGGCCCACCCCACAGCCCCAGCGGCAATCACACAAACACCTCCGGGAGTCACACAGGCGCCAACTGCCCGCCAGCTGCGCCAGAAGGGCAAGTCCAGTTGGAGGGCTGCGTCTGGTTTGGGGCCCCTACAGACTCCCAACCGTGGCCCACGTCAGCCTCGAGGGCAGCCGGTTCACCGGAGGGATGCGCCGCAGGAACAGGTTTGGCACAAGCCACCCCCGGACCCAGCTTTGCCCCTCCCACGAGCCACGGAGAAGCCAGCGTGTGTGCGAGGTGGG